TATTAGCTTTATTGTTTATATGTAAATACTTAGCTTTTACCATCATTCCATTGTTTCAGAAATGGTATATATGCGGAAATTTACTCATAAAATCCAACTTGAAAATGACCGTGGAGCGCTCGAAACGTCGTTCATATTTTTTATCGCTCGTTTTTATCACTAAAACTAAATGTTTTAGTAACAACCTTATTTGGTATATCGCGGGACCAAAATAAGAAAGCCTATCTAGTCCGACGAATTAGAGCGTTTTCGAATTTTAACATCGCTCTTAGCTATAAGAATTCATCATCGACTACCTGGAGCATGCGTTTGACGAAACGTAAAATACTTCGAAAATTATGGGCCTTTAAGTAGATATAAATGCACTTTTTCTTGTACTTCTCACCACCTGTTCGTCAGAAAAGTAATTCCATACTCCAGATTATGAAAAATACCGATCTCTATCCTGTCCTCGAGATTCAATTTCTTGTGAGGAGATACGGAAATCTTGCGGCCGTTCGCTCGGCTGCAGAAGAAGGACTCATCAGTGATGTACACGTAAGTTTGCTTTTGCTGGCTCTTGTCAACTTTGGATTCAAATTTAGCCGTTTGCTCTTTGTCTCTCGTATTTTTTATTAAAAAGGCACTCTAAACAGAGATTTTGAATTCTTCACTTGTACTGCGCGAGAGGTTTACCAAATTTGTTTTCACACAACATAATCTTGATCAAAACGACCGGAAGTAAATGCTACTTCTGACCGCCAAAACTGCAAAACTGAAAGTCCAGCGCTAAAAATTTACACAGTGAAATCTAAATACTAAGACGAAATACATCAACTTAAAATCCAAGAAATGCTCAAGGGGTACGAGGAATAATACATGCAAGAGATCCATTTAATGGTATTCTTGACATGCGAAAAAGTTGTATCAAGAATTTAGTTTTGTGGAACTGCACAATAGAAGTGATCGAGAACAACCTATCCTAAACTCAATTTATTGCTCTGAGTTCTGAACTAAAAACTTACAGACACAAGTATTGGGTTCAAAATTTATAATTTCAAGCTTATCCAGAAGCGCTGTGTCAATTTGTAAATGTATTGTCGTGGTGACGAGCCAATGTTATGGCTGCTCGAACAGATTTCGTAAATGAGTTTTTGTAACTAAAGGTCTTGGGAGAGCGAGGAAGTATGAGGGTACTTTTTAAGTCCGTGGACGGGGAATTTGAAGGCCCTCCGAGAAAAGAAAGCGAAATAATTATGAAAATGACCATAAATCGCCTACTTGTCCAACGTTTTCACTTTTCATCACTAGTTGCCGTAACTATCTGCCAGCATAAGTACTTTGTAGAGGACTCAATAAACGAAATTCATACTAAAGTTTGTTTCTGCGGTTTCTATAACCATTACCGAGACTGTGTTGCAAAATGACAGTTTTAGATGCTCTGCCGTAGGGAAGCTGATTTTCAGATTGAATAATCGGATGAACTAATCGCCAAACTTCACCGTTAGCATACGGAAAAGTTGCTCCTATGTTTCACGCAAATTTTTATTGCGCTCGATGATAAACTGTGCAATGTAAGTACATGTAGAAATAGCATTCTGGGCAGTGGTCTGATCTTAGGTGGTACCCTCGCCCTAATCCTCTCTGTTCTGTATTTGAGTTCTTCTGCTGTTTCGCAATTGACTACGTTTTTTGCCGGCTGACTAAAGACTCATATTGTGGCTGGTGTGTTTGAGGAGTGATATGCCTAACGAGGAACGTTGTCAATTTGACTGATGAAGCGTACTTTCGACTTGCTTCTCGGCTTAGGTTTCCATGACACAGGCCTCCCCAGCGGACTGGGATCTCAAGGATGTCCCTATCTAACTGATAACACCTGTGTTCTCTTATAACAAGAATAAGTACTTGAGATATTTAATTTTCTAGTAGAATCTGCATGTCGGCCAGTGTTCTTAGGAAGTAAGTCATCGATGTGAAAGCAGCATATCATGCATGTGGCCTGAGCGAGATCTGCGAATGGAACTACTCACTGAGCCAATCAGACACTTTCTCACACGTCAGCTTACATCATGATTTTCAATCGGATTGCGCGAGCGGGGCCGTACAGGTCATAGATAAATTCCTCTCTTTGAGATATGATTTTTTCGTCATGTGCGAGGAAAATACGTTTCACGTTTTTAAGCCCGAGAAAATCAGTCCGGGCCATAGACAGTGTTGTTTACATCATGCCGTCATGAAAAACGACGTCACATTCCAACTTAAGTATGATGCACGATCCTCGCAGTAGATAGCGCTATTTAAGCAATAGCGAAAATCATTGTATCTGATTTATCACTTTCACGGGTTTATAACGAATCAACTTAACGGCCTGCTCCCAGTTGGCTTGTTAGCTCAATTGGTAGAGCGCTGCACTAGTATCGCAGAGGTCAGTGGTTCGAATCCCGTACAGGCCTGATTTTTTTCAGGTCTGATTTTCGCTATTGCTTAAATAGCGCTATCTACTGCGAGGATCGTGCATCATACGTATCTAATAGCGCAGTTCAAAATATATGAATTTCATATATTTCATTGTATCTGATTTATCACTTTCACGGGTTTATAACGAATCAACTTAACGGCCTGCTCCCAGTTGGCTGGTTAGCTCAATTGGTAGAGCGCTGCACTAGTATCGCAGAGGTCAGTGGTTCGAATCCCGTACAGGCCTGATTTTTTTCAGGTCTGATTTTCGCTATTGCTTAAATAGCGCTATCTACTGCGAGGATCGTGCATCATACGTATCTAATACCGCAGTTCAAAATATATGAATTTCATATATTTCATTGTATCTGATTCCAACTTAAGTTAGAAAAAAAGCTTAAGCTAGCCCCACAGTTTAGTCCCGTATTTTTTTCTCCGATGTTTATGGCTCTTGGGAACCAGTTCACTTGTTTTAGCACAGAAAGAGCTTGGCGTCAATAGTAGTTTGAATGGTGTCGGTTGAAAGGTCTTGAAATGTGTGGGAAAAATCATCATATTTAAATTCGAGCTGTGATGACTTATTTGGGATAGTTCAGACGGCATCTGGGAAACCCCTCCTGTCACGCTAAATGACCTTTTTATTGGCCACCATTTTCCGCCCCCTGCTCCAGAACAAGAGAAAGTGAATCCGCGGCATCTCATGAGAAGCGCAGAAAAACGGGTTCAAGAGTTCTGGAAGTGTTGGGTACAATATTTCGCGCCTAATTTGTTGCCCAGAAACAAATGGTACAGACCGAGAGAAATCCTCAAAGAGGGAGATTTAGTGTTTGAAATGGAACCGACTCTGAGAAGAACATGGAAGTTTGCACTGGTGCTTCTTACGTATCCGGGATCAGATGGTCTTGTGAGAAAAGCAAGAATCAAAACCACAAGTTCAGTTCATGATTGACCGATTCACAAACTTTGTTTAATTGCTACGAAGGAAGAAATAAGTAATGAAACATAAGCAACTACAAATGTTACGATAAATACATATCGTTGCTCAGTCTAATCACATAGTAATATAATACGATTTCCGCACTGGTTAGGGAGTGTTTTGAAGGAAATTATTTTAAGTTACGTAATATCCCTAGGGACATTTTTCTATAAAAATTAACATGCGTTTCGAGAATCGTTATGAGTCTCTTAAGTACAAAAATAGATCAAAAATCGTAACGGGAAGACAAAGTTCAAGAAAGGGAAAGGAATACAAAATTGTAAGTACAATTAGCTCAAGAACATTACGGCACAGTGCCTGAAAAGTAATCAGTGTCATTTATTTATTTTAGTTTGACTCATATGCTCATAAGAAAGAAGGAGTGCAGAATTAAGTTTCGTAAATTTCCCGAGCTATTAAGGTCTGAATACAAGTTCAATACACCAGCTATCGATTTTCTAAGCATTCCTAAAGGTCCTTTTGTTTTTCCGTTTCAGCTGATGGATGATCATACCTGTTTATTGAGGACAGTCTGTCGACTGACAAAGAAGTGTCTGACAAAAGCTCATTCAAAAATGAACTTTCAGTTCAATTTAAAATAATATCGAGCAGGCCTCTGAGGAAATTCATCCCAAATGGGTCCGTTCGGCATGCAATCGCCATACTTTATTGACTCCGTGAAAACTCAGATCAACAACAAATTATTTCTACCTCAAACGATCTTTTTTGTGGACATTTCATCGTGAACAAAACTGCCCTTTTGTGAAGAAGGAAGAGTTTGAGGAAGCCCTTCAAATCAAGAGAATGAACAACCAGCGGCCAGAGCTGGTCGAAGTGAGTTTCCTGAAGAACTACTTCTATTAGGCAACATTTAATTCCTTAAACATTCGTGTGAAAATTGTAGATGAGATTGAAGTACGAATATTATTTCATCGGTCGCTACTTTCCACGAGGTGTCTTTCAGACATTTCACAAGCAAAGGATAGAATTTGATAACAAAACACTGCGAGCGAAAAAAAA